GTAGTCTCAGCAGGCTGAGGTGGGAAAATTTCATGAGTCCAAAAATTTCATGCAGTGAGCCACGATCATACCACTGTACTCCAGCCTGTGTGCCAATAGCAAGACCTGTCTCTAAAAAATAAAATAAATAATAATGGTAAGACTAAAGGTCATACAACTTGGCAAGGATTCCCAGATTTCAAGCACCAGCCTCTTCACATTTATGTAAATGGAGTGACTTGCAGAGAAGGAAGAGGCAAAAAGATCTAAAGGCCCCAGAGCTTCATCCCTTAAAGTACTGCCCACCATGAACAGAAATAGGGTGATGAAGCTCGAGCGGCTCCAACATTTGAGGTCTCAGCCTTCATTGGGACACCCCAATCGGCAGGAGAGTGCCTTGAGTGCCTTTCAAGACACTCCCCTGCCAACTGGGGTGGTTTGAACAACCGCCAAATGAGAACCATGTCTAACCTTGACATAGCCCTTTCCTCTTCGGAGTTTTGCGCATATCATATAAGTGATTTCCAAACAGAAGTCAGAGCCTTTCCGACCACAAAGAGGACACAAGGGATGTCAGAGCAGGTCATGGAGATCTTACTATGAGCGTCTTGAGCTCCGAGGGGAGTGGCAGTCCAGGTGAGCAAAGGGAAGCAGCTGCTTCTCCCCTCCAGCCCTCTGGCCTTTGAGATTTACTGTAACGTTAGAAAGGAAATGAACTGCATGACATGCTGGGGGGTGTGGTGTGTGGGTGGTGTGAGGAGGCCCCCAGAGAGTCCACAATAAAAATATTTGAGAAAATAGCCACTGCACAGTAAGGAATCAGAAACGCATTTAGATATCTCCGGAAAGAAAACACTCAGGACAGCCAGGCCCCTCTTCAGTAAGCTTTTTATAAGTGTACTCTCTATTCTTCTTTTCCTCATTTCAGTTTATCAGATGACATTAATAAACAATAATATAAATACATGTTGTGGGGCCATATTGACAATTAATGAGATTAATGCAAAAATATGTTAAGATCTATGCCGGCTGGGTGCGGTAGCTTATGCCTGTAATCCCAGCATTTTGGAGGGCCAAGGCAGGTGGATCACTTGAGGCCAGGAGTTCGAGACCAGCCTGGTCAACATGGCAAAAACCTGTCTCTACTAAAAATACAAACATTAGCTGGGCACGGTGGCAGGTGCCTGTAATCCCAGCTACTCGGGAGGCTGAGATTCAAGAATCGCTTGAGCCCAAGAGGCAGAGGTTGCAGTGAGTTGAGATTGTGTCACTACACTCCGGCCTGGGCAACAGAGAAAAGCTACTGTGTCTCAAAATAAAATATAATAAAAGCCACATTGCAAAAAATTGGCAAAAAAAATAGTTTAACCAATAATCACTATCATTCATATTCTGCAAACACACAATATCCTTAATACCTACTAAGTGCCAGTCATTATTGGGCACTTCACATATTTAATTTTTGCCCTGACAACAGCCCTGGGAGTTAGGTGATATTATTCACCCCTTTTATAGAAGAAATGATTGTGTCTCAGAAAAGCTATATGACTTTTCCAAAGTCCCCTAGAAATAAAACTCTGAACTGAGGTCTTTGATTCTATAACTCTTGATTTTTTCATGTCAGCATTTTGACAGTTCAACACAGCAAACAGTCCACATGGGCAGTTAGAAAGAAGAGGCTAATGGAAAGGTTATTATTAAGTATAGATTTCATTCTTACTAAACGTTGCCTAGGTGCGTTTAGGTTACCTGCAATAGTAGTGTCCAGAGCCTACACACTTTAAGTTGAAGCTACATGGACGAAGTAAAGATTTATTATATTTGTTTAATTATTGTGGAATTGGTATGAAGATCAACCATCATTTAATTCTACACAGCCTCAACTTGCCTGATAATTTGGTCTTATTCACTGTGGTCATTTCTGCCATTAAAAATCTCTTATTTTCAATATTCATGCATACATACAAACCCTACACACACACGCACACACACACACATACACACACACCCCCCCCAACAAATTGGATTTCAGCAAGAGAAAGAAAAGATAGCAAAATTGAAAGCAACTCTTCTTATGTGTCTTTGGGTTAATTTGTCCATACTTGATTTTTGGGGTTTTTTTTGGAAAATTATCTTCCAAGTTTAAACAAACTTTGAACTCCCTCTACTAAAAATTTTCCACAAAAAGGGTTGAAAACAACTACTACTACATACAGTTCCCAGAAATGATTGGGCAAAAACAAATTTTAAAAAATAAATTTCATCTGGAATTTTTTTTTTTTTTTTTTTTTTTTGAGACAGAGTCTCGCACTGTCATCCAGGCTGGAATGCAATGGCATGATATTGGCTCACTCTAACCTCTGCCTCCCAGGTTCACGTAATTCTCCTGCCTCAGCCTCCCAAGTAGCTGGGATTACAGGTGCCCGCCACAACGCCTAGCTAGTTTTTTGTATTTTTAGTAGAGACGAGGCTTCACTGTGTTGGCCAGGCTGGTCTCGAACTCTTGACCTCGTGATCCACCCACCTCGGCCCCCCAAAGTGCTGAGATTACAGGCGTGAGCCACCGCGCCTGGCCTGACCTGAATTTTTATGTTAGATATGGACATTAGAAAATAACCTACTGTGTATTATCATCTCAATTGATTTTTCAGAAAAAAAAGTATAAAAAGCTTTTTAAGCTGGAGTTTAAATGTACATTGTAAGTGACCAAACTTCAATTCTGATGTCTATGCCAGAAAATGTTACACTCTAGTCATGTTTTCTCCTTTGCAATCATATTAAACATTTGCATCCTTGCTAAAATGTTTGGGAATCAAATGGCCCTAAAATGGGAGCTGACGGGACAGAGTAGCTGGTTGGCTGATCAGAAGTAGAAATGAAGGAACAGGGGAGTCTCCTTTGAGGGCAATGGGGTCCTGGGGACGTGTAGGAGAAACAGAGTCCAGGGAAACAAATGTTCTTGGGCTATAAAAAGGCTTTTCAGTCTGTAACAATAATCCAATTCAACTTACAAATTAATCTTTTCTTAGTTCACTAATAATCTGAAAATAATGTCTACATTAAGCTAGGAAGTAAAACCATTCAATGAAGGAATTAAAAATATCAATATGAACTAAGAATTTTCTGACCGTAAATGTATAATAGCTCTTTTGTTAATTTGTAAAATAAGTCCAGGAAATATTTTGATAGATTAATACTCTGATGAGTAGCAAGTTACATTTTTCCAGCACAGTAATACAGTCTGCTTTATTGAGCACCAAACAGAGAGTTGCAAAAATACCCACTGGATAACAATCTCCACACTGTTAAATTTTAGCAGGTGGAATTTCAGCTTGCCAAAGACTCAAAATTAGGAAACTGCTCTTCCAGCCATCTCCAGACTGCTAACCCTTCATTTGGTGAACTGAAAACTGTAGGAAAATTGTCCTTAAGTATGTGATTAGATCTTGAACCAATCTTTTGTCTTCTACTACATTCCAAAGAAGCCTTTATACCAGGCAAATAACTCAATGGTACATTATAAAATGGATAAAGGAGGAATGATGGAACATCAGTAAATGCTGATCATGAGATCTCTGAAGCTGAATCTTACTTCTGCAAATTCATCCAGTGTTTACCCAAAAGGCAATAATAGGAATCCTGGACACATCAAAGAGAGGAGGCCCCTTTATAGGAGAGAATAAAATAAAATAATTAAGCTACGTGTGAAAATTTACTTCATTGCAGTTAGTTTCTTCTACTAAGGTGTCTTAACATTTTAAATTAAATATTACTTGCCACTAAACAATATAAGGAATCTTATCCTGCCTGGAAAGAAAAATAGTCACAAGCATTATATTAGCTCCATGAGCTAGGAAGACATGAGTTGTAAAACAAGTAATATAGGACCGCAGTGGTTATTCACAACTGAATAATGAATTGCATGTCACACAATGCATGATAGTTATCTGGGCTGCTGAAGTTATAGCTAAGGAATTATTAGTCTCCCTTATCTGAAAGATCAAATGTAATATGAAATCAAAGGAAGTAATAATTATGCAGGAAACAATATCTAAAAAAATGCCTCTGATGATGAAAAACTGATTTATAAAGTTCAGGATTAATAAATACTGAGTATCATTTTAGGTTACCCAAGTTGGATTCAACATTTTTAGCAATATTTCCAACTGACTATGTGCAGCAGAAATAAACACCAGAAAATTACCAAACTGCCAAACCAGAGAGTCCTTCTGGAGATGGAACAAAACAATATGTGAAGCTGTTTTTAGCCATTTACAGGGCATGAGAAACATCCATATAATAAAGACAACATGATTATGTGACTCGGTTTCATCGAAAAGAGAAGGCCCTCAAAGTCTACTCCAGAATCCCCTTAGACAAAATTGAATCCTTCTAAGCAAAGGAGGAGACAGTAGGAGATTTCTGGTCCCTGCCAACTGATGACATCCCGTGTTTTCTGAATTGGCCCCTGGTGACTTAAGGGTGGGTACATGAAGCATTTGAAGAAGATTAATGGGTGGTTAAAATCAACATCTAGTCATTGAATAAGGTACCAATCTAGATTACTTTACCCCTTACCAAAGTATGTCAACAAAGAAAACTGTAGGAATTTATTAACTAGTGATTACAAGATATAATTTACTACCAGCCTTAAAGACCTACAGAGGCAGAAAACACCACATGGCTTCCCCATCTTGCATAGGCTTCCCTAATAAAAATTCTTCCCTCAAAAATTTCTCCATACCAAACTTAATTAAGATTAAGTGAAAATTTTTCATTCAACACTCTATACAATATTAACTACCTAAACATTTAAAACTGGGTATTTGCAAAGAAGGGAAAGATGAATGATAGTTATCTCTGAGTAGGATTAAGAGAGATTTTTAGCTGCTTTTTATCTTTTATTGAACATAATAAGCATATGTTACCTGTATAAAGTCAGAAAAAAAAAAGTTGTAAGCACTATCCGCAATAAGGACTTCAAGTATGGGGAACAGATGACTTTTCATTCCCCCTTTTACTTACATTTATGTCTCCCTTTGCAAACACAATCATGTTTCTAATAGTTTCCACTTCTCTCTGTTGACTCTTTGGAATGTTCTATGAGCACTTGGGTCTCATTTGTTATGCCTACAAATGGGAAAAAAAAAAATCTCTGGAGATATTGTCATGTAGTACCAGGTTAAGACTTTAGCAAGCCAAGTGAAGATATGATCTCCCAGCTATGCCTACAGGATAACAATAGCCATTAATTTTCTCCTGATTTAAATATATGGTCTTTTGTGACCATTTACCTTACTGTGGTCTAATAATGTAACTGTAATATTAATTAGTTCTATACAATCACCATTCTACAGAAAAACAGTACTGAAACAACCCACATTCTTTTCACATTTTAAAATTCCAGGGACAATATAGCTGATTGTGGTGAAGAAGTAAACGCATATAGTTAATACAGAAAGCAAGAATACAAAACCAACTCTGGATAAGAAGTTTGTTTCATATCTGCCACAGTTAAATTTGAATGATCTTAATGTCTTCTTTTACCTTCTGTCAAGCCTGTCCTATCACCAAAGCTCTCCCTGACCGCTCCTCAGAGATTTCCCTAAATTTCCATGGCCCCATCTGGGGTTTGCACACCCTGTCCATTTGGACTACCTTGTGCTAGTGACAGCCAGATATACAAGTGACACATATTTGGGAAATCCAATTGGGAAAACTTGATAGACTATGTAGAGAGATAGATATAAAAATATATAATCTATCACTATCCTGCTTTTCAGAACGGATTCCTTATGCCATTTTACAGGCCCTCCTCATCCCACAACACCCTCTCTGCTTATCTCAGTGTCTGGTACCATGTACAGCAAATATCCTTGTTTGGTTGATTCAAAAGACTATGTGTGTGGCCTTACTTTCTTAGTCTACCAACCCACCATCCTTACCTCAGTCCAGCCACAGCCCTGCTGTCACAACTGGGGAGACAGCATGTTGGAATCAAGTTCTGGCTGGGAGCCAGAACATCCAAATACCAGGTTCCAGTTCTGCCAATTCCTACCAGTGTGCCCTTGAACAAGGTGTTTCACCTTCTGGGCTGCCATTTTCCCACTTGTAAATCAAAGTTCCAGGCCAGGTAAACTTTAAGGTCTACTTCAGCTCTTAAGTGCTGTCATTTCCATGTTTAGAGCCCTGTTTAGAGCTTCCCTGTCCAATACTGTAGCTACTAGCTCACAGGGGGTGGGGGGAGGGGTATTTAATTAAATTTCACTGAAATTAAACAAAATTAAAATTCAGTTTTCAGTTGCACTAGCCCATTTCAAGTTCTCAGTTGCTACATGTGACTAGTAGATACTGGTTTTGGACAACAGATATGGAACATTTCTATCATGGCCAAAAGTTTAATTGGACAGGTCTGGAGTCGAGTGATATATTAAATATCATTTTTGTCCTTCTAGTGGTGGGCCAACAGACCTAATTAACTTCAGTTAAGTATATTACTCTCATCTCATTGTTAGTTTTCATACTCATAATTCACATATTACAAATGCAACATGTCCTTTATTTTAAATGGCAGTCACTTATAAATCCTCCTTCTACTTAGAAAAATAGAGCTACGAGAATCACAACTAGAGCAGCAAGCTGAAAAACAGGAGCCTAAGACCCACCATTCCCATCCAAATTCCGACATTCCGCCAGGCTGAACTCTGTTCTCCCACCCCTCACACTTGGCAGTCTTTTGTGCACCTGTCTTTGTTGGTCCGCTTTCTTCCATTAGACGATTTCTCTTTCCTCTCATGTCCCTCACTAGGTCCAAATTCATCAAGATCCTTTCCATAGTTATGCTGTGGCAAAGCTGGGCAGAACTGCATCCAAATGTAGCCATAGTGGGTTAGCAACAGGGATCAGAATGGGCGATTTAAACAAGTTGCATAAAGGAAATACACAGGCAGCCCGGTAGCATGCGACCTTACCTCAATTTGCACTATCAGTTATGAGACAGCTACGTGCTAAATATGCCAAGGCTGGAACTGCCTGAGAAGGTAGTAGATCAGCTCACCAAAATACATCAAAAAATAAAATGAGGAGACAAAATAAGTCATGAAAGAAGGATTCTTTGGGTTATTAGCAACTGGGGAGGTGGTCTGCTCATCATGTGCATCTGGAGAAATGCCAAAATTCTCTGCCCAGAAACCCACCCAACCCTAGTGGACAGCATGGAATCAGACTATGTGAGCACATGAAGTGTCAGCCCCAACACCAGGGAAAGGTGAGCAGCTGGCAGGGGCAGGACTCCTTTCCTCAGCTCTGACTGACAGTTTCCAGTCACAAACTAACAGTCAAGGTGTCCTTTGTATGAATCACTGTACTGTAAAAATATCTATCCCATTGTGATTTTGCTACTCACAATTGTCTGGTGCTCCAGGACAGATGTCACCATCCCTTATCTATTGAAAGTCATGTCTTCCTCCTCAGACCTGCCAGAACACTTTACATCATTCTTGAGATACTTACAATGCAACCTTGCTGTTTCCTGTCCATTTCTTAATTCCTCTACAAGACTGTAAGTTATAATTAGTAGTTTGCAATTCTTCTATTTACCAGCATTTTAGTACAATGAATAACTTTCTAGGAGTTGAATAAATATGGAATCTGACAAGAAGTGGATGACTCGGTGAAGTGAATGAATGGATTTATAAATGAATATCCTATAGCTAATCAGATTGCTACAGCCCCAAAATAATCCAGGTCTTAACAGTGTTTCACCTTTACCCAGTCTTTCACACATGACTTATTTAAGTCCTCTTTCTTTAAAGAGACATGTCATGCTGGTCACACGTAACAGTAAACATCCAGCAACAGTGTTAACTGCGAGGGTGTATTGTTGATGTGTAGAGTAGGTTGAACACTACTAAGGAATGCTATTCTGAATTAAACTGTACCTTATTTTCTGCTTAGTGCTTTTTTCATTTAAAATAATTATGGTAATTCTTTTGCATTTTTAAAAATTATTATGGGTACATGCGTGATAGTTGTACACATTTATGGGGTACATGTGATGTCTTGATAAAGGCATACAATGTGTAATGATCAAATCAGGAAAATTAGAGTGTTCATTGCCTCAAGCATTTATCATTTCTTTGTGTCAGGAACATTACAATTCCACTCTTTTAGTTATTTTTAAATATACAGTAAGTTTTGTTAATTATAGTCACCCTGTGTGCTACAGAAAACCAGATCTTGTGCCTTCTGTGTTTTTTTACCCATTTACTATCTCTACTTTATTCCCTCCTCCCCACTACCCTTCCCAGCCTCTGATAACCATCATGCTGCTCTCTCCATGAGATCATTTGTTTTAATTTTTAGCTACCATATGAGTGAGAATATGTGAAATGTGTCTTTCTGTGGCTGGCTTATTTTACTTAACATAATGTCCTCCAGTTCCATCCATGTTGTTGCAAATGACAGAATTTTATTATGTATTCTTTTTTTTGTTTTTCTTTTGGAGACAGGGTCTCACTCTGTTCCCCAGGCTGGACTGCCTTGGGGCAATCAGGGCTTACTATAGCCTCGACCTCCCTGGGCTGAAGCATTCCTCCACCTCAGCCTCCCTGGACGCTGGGACTACAGGTGCATGCTACCATGCCCAGATGATATTTTATTCTTTTTTGTGGCTGAATAATGTTCTATTGTGTATACATATGTATTTTCCTTACCCACTCATCTGGTGATGAACACTTGGGTTGCTTCTATATCTTGGCTATTGTGAATAGTGTTGCAGTAAACATGAGAGTGCAGATATCTCTTCAACACACTGATTTCTTTTCTTTTGGATAAATACCCAGCAGTAGGATTGCTGGATTGTGTATTTCTAGTTTTCATTTTTTGAGGAATCTCTACTGTTCTCCATAGGGGCTGTACTAATTTACATTCCCACCAACAGTGTATGAAGATTCCCCTTTCTCCACATCCTCACTAACATTCATTATTACCTGTCTTTTGGATAAAAATCATTTTAACTGGGTAAGATGAATTCTCATTGCAGTTTTGATTTTATAATTTTTGATATCATACTTAATTGGATTCAAACAAAATCATTGACAGTAAATTTATTTCTACATATATAAGATAATGCATGTATAAAGTTATTCATTATGACACTGTCTTTAAAAATAAAAAATTGGAAACTCAATGACCATCAATAGGGAGAGAAATAAGTTATGATATAGCCATTCAATGGAATCACATGCAAATGTTTAAAGAAAGAATAATGCTTTCTACCTACTGCATTCTAAAGTAATTCATTACATTGCTGTCTGTAATAGAAAATATTAGAAACTACATCAAGGTCCATCAATGGGGTGTAGACAAATAAGTGTGGTACATCAGTGGAATGATAATACAATTATGAAAAATGATGCTACTCCACCTATATAGAAAGATGTACAAAATATATTGTTAAGCGGAAAAAGCAAGATCAAAAACTTTTTTTAAAAAACAGAGTCTTGCTCTGTCACCCAGACTGCCGTGCAATGGTATAATCATGGCTCACTGCAGCCTCAACTGCCTAGGGTCAAGTGATCCTCCTGCCTCAGCCTCCTGAGTTATAACTGAGACTATAGGCGCATGCCACCATGCTTAACTAATGTTTTATTTTTTTATAGAAACAGGGTCTCCCTATGCTGTCCAAGCTGGTCTCAAATGCCTGGGCTCCAGTAATTTTCCCGCATGGGCCTCCCAAGAGGCTGGGATTACAGGAGTCAGTCAATCACCTCATCCTGCCAGAAACAAAACTGATAGTGTTAATTTTCGTATGAAAAAGGAGAGAGTTTAAGATATACTGGCATAAAGAAATTCTCAAACAGTACACAAGAAACTAATAAAAATGGCTATACAAGGGCAGTAGAATTGCGTTCATGACAGAAGGGGGTGAGCAAAATTTTTCATCATATACCATTTCATATTTCTGTGTTTACCCTTGCAAGTGCATTACCTATTCAGAAAAATTAATGGACATTTCCATTATCAGGCTACTTTTTTTAATGAATGAATTTTAAAAGAATCCCTAATATACCATTCTTCATCATTCTCTCAACAAGTTTCTTTTCTGTTCTCTGCCCTGCCACCCCCTT